CTGTCGGAGAGTTCTCAGCAACCTAGTGAATAGTTTCTTTTATGAAACCTTATGGGTAACCTCCTGCATAGGTTTTACTCACTCGCATAATGCATATTTTATAAAATGGGTGGGTCTAGAGAGTTCATCAGTTCATCTTTGAAGAGATCTGTGTCTAATTCGAAGCAAAATTTAATTTGCCTAACCGATTTGTGTATGACAGTAGTCGCTTCAAAGTTGGTCTTGGTGGTTCACCGACTTTGGTAGCCACAGATGTCATTCAGCGTTCACCTGAATTACTCATGTAAGACTGACTCCTACAAATACATCCGACTGATGCCTGGAACGCGACAAATGAAGCCGGTCACTGAATGGCCTTGCCTTATAAATACGGTCAAACTAACGGGAAGCTCAAATCGACAGTGAGGACTCACAGTTTCATTTAGTAGCGATATCTTTTGGAAATCATTAACTTACCTTGGTTTGTAGCTTCTGAATGAGCTGAGCCTGTTTCTGTTGTCCATCCTGGTAGGCCGCGAGTTTGCGGCGATAACTGGCCGCTTCTTCTTCAGCCTTGGAACGTGGGTCGGTGCCCATTTGATACTGCGATGATAGGGTGATACTGGAAGAATCGGGCTTGCTTGGACCAGAGTAAACTCCACCGGTACCAGTCAGGTCGCCAAAATCACCGGAATAGATGGCCTCCAGCTGTGATGGCTCCACTCCAGCCAAATGAAAGAATCGATCCAAGCTGATCTCATCCGACGGATTGGTCGTTTGTGTGGATAAACCTTCCTGAAGATAATATTAGGAAGTAACATCTATAATCCGAAACTCAAAATAGTACAAGGATCATTGACGGACCAGTACCACGAGCGACTATTCTCAATGTGATATCTGCATTATATTTTGAGCTTTGCTGAAAATCCCCCACATATTTAACTCAGCAACTAGCTGCTACTTCATCGAGGCTACATTTTCAGACTTATCTAGGTAAGTGCTTCCCCAGTAGCAGTAATTATGCTTGATTGCTTTGTCCAGGTGGAGGCTCATTAAATCAACAAGTAAGCATCAAATACCTGACAGTCTTTGAGTTGTGAGCTCCTAGAACCAAATCAAATCCAGGATGAAAGTCATCTTTGTATTCAGACCCGCCAAGAAAGGATGCTTCAAATTGACACCACTTCTTTAATGAAGACACAACCGG